TCTCCTCCTCCTCCACCTCCTCCTCTTCTCCCTCCTCCTTCTCCTTCTTCTTCCAAATTTTAAAACTTCACCTGGGATAATTTCAAACTTATAAGAGTTGGAAGAACATCACAAAGCATAACAGTATGTGTTTACCAAACCGTATCAGCTTTTAACAGTGTACAAATCCACACTTACACTTTCTCCGTGTCCTGTATGTACTTTTTAGTTGAGCCTCTCAAGAGTAAGCTAGAAATCGTAGCAGTTAACCCTTAAGAATGCCACTGTATATTTCTCAAGATCAGGGACAAACTCTACCAAGCTGTACTACTGTGATCTAACTTAGAACACTGGATGCATGCTGTTGCCGAGTATACAATTCATCATCCCACCCTCCTTTCCTTTCCTCTTGCTCCAGGATAACACACTTCATTTAATTGTTGTGACCCTGTGCTCTCCATCTCTCAGACAGTCATTGCAGTGGCCTGAGTGTAGGCAGGATAATTTCTAGGCTGGCCCTCAGTTTGTGTTTCATGAATGGTTCCTCGCTATTAATTCTAGTGATTTTTGTTTGTTAGCTCATATAGCCCTGGCTGTCTGGGAACTCACTATGTCAACTAAGGTGGCCTCAGACTCACAGAGTTCTACCTGCCTCTGCTCCCTGAGTGCTAGGATTAATGGTGTGATTTATTTTTGACAGGCATTCTACACCATGACATGCTGGAGACAGCTTATACTAGCTCCTGGGAGTCAGTTCTTACATGTCTTTTAACTCCAAGTTCTGTGAAGTTATATTGGTTGCTTATAAGAAGCCATGGTTGGAATATTATGTTACCTCAAAGAAATCAGGAAACACTGTCGCTGGGAGCTCCTCCCAACCTTGGGTTGCAGTTGTACTTTATGTGTACTTACTGGCACAGCACACTACAGTGTGTGTGTGTGTGTGTGTGTGTGTGTGTGTTCTTCTGTCCTAAGTGCACAACATCAGAAGGCATGTGGCATTCTTTTCCGATGTTGGTATCCTTGTCACTGGGTGAGATGGGAGCTCTCTGGGACTCCTATGAAGATGATCACCATTTTCCCCCTTTTTCTTCATGAGTGATGCATGAAAGGATAATATTCTCATCATCCCTGTGAGGATGTGCTTACCCTGTCCACTTCCAATGGAACTTTCATTTTATTTCTTGAAGATTATTGTGTAGGGCTCTGGGCATGTAGCTCAGCGGTACAGCATTTACCTGGTGTGCCTAACACTCAAGTCTCATGACAAGAACGATGAATACAAAATAATAACAAAAAATATTATTGCCTGAATCCATTAGTATTGTAATAATTTAAAGCAGTAATTTTCTCTTTCATCTTGGTATTTGTTTATTTATTTAGCAGGGCTGAGGTTTGACCCTAGGACCTCACACATATTAAGGAAATGCTCTACTATTGAGCTGCACAGCTCATTTTTTGTTGGTGTTTAGTAATTGCTTTCCTTTTCTTTCTTTCTTTGTTTTTTGTTTATTTATTTATTTGGTTTTTCAAAACAGGGTTTCTCTATGTAACCGTGACTGTCCTGGGCTCACTTTGCAGACCAGGCTGACCTCAAACTCACAGAGATCTACCTGCCTCTGCCTACCCAAGTGCTGGGAATACAGGCGTGTGAGACCCTACCCAGTACAATTTTTTTTTAAATATAAACTTATTCTTAAAGTAGATAAGTAGCAGTAGATTGGGAAGCAAACCTCTCCCACCAGTTTGTCAGTTTACAGCAGATTAGATTGTTAATACCCATTGCTATACTGTAGGATAAGTTGCCACGAAATACAGCATATATCTAGAGTGAACAGAGTGGGTCCTCAGAAATGATTTTCTGGTCTCCTATAGAAAGTGTGTTTGTTGATAGCATATCATTTCATCATTAATGTGGGTAACCTTTTGAGTCACTTTCCATAGTCTTGCCTGAACCCAGATTGCTTGGGTGAGCTGTGCAGAGTGGAATGGGAAGAACACAGGACATGAAGTCTGCAGCCACAACACGTGAGGAGGTTGGATGCTGCAAATCATCTCCCCAGTGTCCAGGGCTAACTGAACCCATTGGGTCCCATTTCAGTTCCCTGTCTGGTCCTAAGACTCCCCCTGCCCCTTAATTAGGGACCTAGAATTCACCTCATTAGCGTGGTGAGAGGCACAGGTGACCTGGTGGTTGAACTGCAGATGCAGCTCCAGGAGCCATGAAGTGTGGCACCCCGGACACTGTCTCAGCTTACCTCTGTGTGCTCCGGCCCATCACCTGGCTCCTGTCCCTGGCTCTTTGTTGCTGGCAGTCATGGCAACCCCCTGAAGGATGTCCTCACCTTTCTCTGTAAGGAGCTCCCTCTGAGGCTCAAGTGTTAGCTTGCCCTGTATCCGGTTACCTCTGTTGCCAGAGTTGGAGGTTTAAAAAAAAAAAAAATCTTCTGCCCTGGGCAGTCTACCGATTTAAAACAGTGTTGATACTTCGTGAATGTTGAAGAGCTAGAGTTCTTAAAAGTCTTCATTGGCCTTTGCCAAATGAAAGGGCTGAGAACTAGGCAAATTCTTGACTGGTGCGTTGTTTAATGAACTCCATGAATTAGTCAAGTAACAGTGATCAGTTTGCCTCAGGTGTCTATAACAGGGTATATGCGTAAGGTGAGGTGGAGAGTGAGAATTCGAAAACAAAATGGGGCTTTGGCCAAGCAGTGTTTTCTTCCTTATCTGGAAAAGGGTTTGAGACATCCCTCCTCCCTCACTCCCCACCTTTGGCCGAAACTGGGTCTGGGCCACATCAGCTAGGAAAGGTAAGCTGCCATTTGCTGTCTGCCCAGTGCAGTCTGAGCCTGGTACTGCTTCACTTCCTCCCTCCAGCATTTTTAATATTTAATGGCCCTTCCGAGGCGGAGAATTATTTGGCAGCTCCCAAAGGGATATCTGCTCTAGGTATCTTTTTTTTTTTTTTTTTTAATCTGTCTGCTGAGCTTCCATTTGCTAAATTAAAAAGGTGGTGTCTAGAATGTTTTTCAGATGACTCACTTAAGGTTCTGATGAGACAAATGGAGTCCACAGGAATCCAGGGAGTTGGCAGGAATTTTCAGCTTATTTTCTTCATCTTTGCTTTTTATAATATTCCAATAATAATAATACATCTTTTCTCTTCCCTAAGACAACTCTGGACTATTTTAAAACTCAGGGATTTTTTTTTTCTTTTTTTTTTAAGTTGTCCTCTCAGCACCTCTCCTTCCTCCTCTCCATGAGTTCCTTTGTGTTTGAATTTAAGGAATTTGACCTTCCTAAAATGTAATCTAATCAACACCCTCCTCACCTGGTGGATTAACCGCTCAACACCTCTCGGATTAGAAAGCCAGTGTCTTGCTGGGAAGACAGAGGGCCATTGATTCCTGAGCTCAGCCTGGCTTCTCTTTGATTTTATAATCAGTTCCTAGAGATTGTAGGCGAGCTTTGAATTCCAAAGCTTGGGGTCTGTGAGCTCTTAAAACAAGCCTTTGAAGCAGAACATCTGCCTTGCGTTTCAGAAGGGAAGACCCAAGTGTGTGTTGATGGGTGAATTAAGTTGTTTTCATTTTCTAATGTAAGGGAACCAGTAATTATCACTGCTAGTGTAATACCTGGGCTTTTTTCCTTTTGCTCTTCTTTTTGTTTTTTGTGTGTTTAAATAGGGGTGAGGGTGGGAGGTCTTGTGTCAGAACAACTTTATGGAGCTGGTTCTCTCCTTAACCTTGTCAGTCCCATGGATGGAACTCAGATCATAGTCTTGCTTACCTCCCGATCCGTCTCACTGGCTCTGGTTTCCCTTTCATTTAATTCATTCTATGGCTTCTATAAGAATCATTGGTAGTTCTGTTTGTTTGTTTGTTTGTTTGTTTGAGAATTCTAAACAAGTTAGTGGTAAGAGACGAACTTAATCTTTCCAGAAATCCTCATCAAGTCCAATGTCTCCTGTAAATCTCTTATTGTGTGCTGGTTTATGATTCAATGTAGTGACTCCCAATGAAGGACTTGGATTAACTAACAAATGCTACAGCTCGGGTCCAGCAGATAAAAGTGGGGAAGAGAGAGCACCAGGCAATCCCCAGGCCTTTAAACCCTGCACTTACAAGCTCAAAGGACTCTGGTATGAAACAAGAACAGGCATGGTGCATTGCTTTCGTACATGTTCATCCTTAGAAGCTCATACACTTCTCAATTTTGGATTAAAAGTTCATCTATCCCAGCTCAGACTTACAGTATTACGTGGTACCGGACTGCCATTTACACAGCCACATGTCTAAAGGTGTGAAGGTGCGCGAAATATTTGTCATCCATACTTAAGCATGCCTCCTGACAAAAACAAGCCGTGGGGACCCAAGATTTCCCTGGGCTCCTGAATGATGAAGAAATTAAAGGATGGAAAAAATGATGGATTTGAGCTCATCAAACTTTCATTGCAGCAGAATTTTAGTCTTCTTTGCCTTTACTGCTCCTGGTGTTAAAGATGTCGCATTTCAGCTAGGATGGAACAAACACTCACGAGTATGTTACTGAGAAGGAAGTGAAATTATGCCTTAATAATGTTTGTACCACTTGTATGCTGAAGTGACTGTGCTGTGATTCGGATGTGGAAAATTACCTCAGGAAAACGCACAACAAATATCGTGAAATCTGAGGAGCTTAAAAACAAATGTGTAGAAATAAAAACTATTCAAATACTTCACCTGAAAATTGTCTAAATTTTTAGCCTCAGAGTGACTTGTCTTTTCTAAGCAAAAGTTTCTTGCCCAATAAACACACATACACACGCACGCACACACACACACACACACACACACACAGGTTCTTCCTATACCTCCCCTCCTTGAGGTCTCTCTGCTCACCCCCCTCCCTTGCAATGGTATGCTCTGCATTTGATCGTAAACTGGAGGTGCCAAGCTGTGACAGATTCTTCAGCTCCACAGCCATTTGCTCCAGCCCAGGGTAGACGTGTGCTCAGTGATGTTTTCCTCTTCCACCCACAGGGACAAATTGAAGTAGACAGTGAGACCGTCTTCAAGTTGGCAGCCCTGGTTTTACAGGTAAGGGTCCACTCGCTGCCCTTAACCGGCTGCCTTTTGTTTCTGAGATTCCTGCTAACTGCCTGCAGCTCTGAAACTTTTCGCGTTGGGCCACAACCCGGTGGGTTTTCAAACCAGTCAATGGTCTATCAGCGAAAGCTGTGACCTGCTGGATTCTGTTTTAAAATCATTTGCGTGAACTAGCCTGTGACAGTGTTTCTCAAAAGACATAATGAAATTTAGACTGAACCAAGGGAAAGGAGTTCAGACCATATTCCTGGAAGGGGACTCCCAGTCACTTGAACTTGGGAGGTAGCAGTTGTTAGAACAGCTGTAATTTTCATTTAAATTTAGCAACTTTTGTACACGTTTCCTTGAGGTCGTGTGAAGAGCCCTTTAATTCGAAAAGGCACTGGCAGCTGAAGAGCAAAGTCGGTTCCTGAAACTTGTTTAAAAAGTAAAGAGAAAGTAAGCAGTGTGTGTTGATTTATCTGGGTCATAAGAAGTAGAGCATTTTGATGCAAATGTACTTATCCCTTGATTTAGAAATGCAACAGAGAAGTGATTACCAGTGCCGCTCCATACATACCCATGAGGAATATATATAATATATATTTATGTATATTATATATTAGCCTCTTCTGTTAAGAGTAAGACACAGCTCATGTATACTTTTGTATTTTCTTATCAATAATGGCTGGGGTAGTGCTCTTTACGTACGTTTCTTAACAGAAAGCTCTGTACTTTGTGAGAGGGTATATAACCAAGAATAAATCATTCATTGAGCTCAGCATAAATACATATTGATCGTGTCTTTATTTTTATTTCAGGAAAGCAAGGGAGATTATACCAGGTAATGATTCCTTTTCTGATGGCGCTATGTAGAATGAGGCTCCCCAGTTGTGGACTGAGTTATTTTAAATAATAATGGATTCGAAAATCAAAAGAAAGCAGATTGAGGCGGGGAGGGGGGGTGGGGGGCTCAGATCTCCTCTTCCTCGGCATAGAAGCCTATTTTGTGAATGACTCTAAGAATGAAACTTTCTCACAATTTTTGAGGGCAGAGTGAGAGGAGATTATAATCAGCAATCCTCAGAGGTCTAGTATTGTATCACATTGGTTACTGAGATGAAGAAGTCTATAAAAAGCTTTGCTAGCTTGTGCTTTTTTCTTTTTTTATGCGTACAATGATTCTGTGTGTAAGGGGTTCTAACGTATGCACAAACAGATTAAATCCATCAGCTGCTTAGTTAAGGGATTAATAGGGCCTTTCTTTTGCAGCTGCCCTGAAGGGGCCTCACCCTTCCTACTCTTGACCTAGCAGTTGCGTTGCTGCTACATTGACGCTGGGACCAAGTGCCTCAGTGTCCACATCGGCAGAGTGTGTGTGAATTCACCCTCTTCCGTGCTGTCTCTTCTACGCAGCGGTCCTATGTGAACAAGTGGGGACTGTCAAAGCTGGAGGGGAGGCCTCTGATGGGAAGCAGTGCCCAGGCCAATGACCCACTGAAAGCCTGGCGTCCGCCAGGCCAATGTTCCACTTCTCTAAGCCTCACCCGGAGATTATTTACACATCGCCTAGTACTCATTCCCAGCCAAGTCTTTGAATAATGTGCTCGCTAGTGGGCTGATAAAATAATGCCTTCCAGGCTTGACGGCTTCCAGCCCCTGAGGGATAATCCACTCTCCTCACCCTGCCCATCCAGAGTGATAGTGTAGGGTTTTCCACTTAACACACCATCATTCAGTTATTCACCCCCTCTCACTGAGACCATATGGTGTGTGTGTATGCATGGATGCACGTGAGTGTATGTTTGTGTATATGTGTGTATTTGTTGTATATTCTTTATATATAGGGATTGATTCTAGAAGACATTTCACAGCAGTAAATGGTCCTTTGCGTTTATCCCTCTACTTCTAATCCCATTCATCTTCTCGCTCTCTCCTACTTTCATGTGTATGCATACACATACATGCATATGATCTTGCTCATCCATAAGTCTGTGGTTGTATAGGCAGTCATAAAGTCAGTTAATGATGGCTTCAGCCTTTCTAGTATGGAATGCTTGCTCTCCCTTCACCACTTTTGACTCTGTGAGGGCCAAGCTGGTGTCAGACACCCTAAGCCTCAGTTTTCTCAGCAGTGAAAGGCAGCCTAGCCTATAGGACTGCTGTGAATTAAATATGCGAAGGTAGCTGGGCGGTATCTGCAACATTCAGCTCTGACTGCACTTCAGGTGTTACAGTGGTTACTGTGCTTTTAATCACCTTTAAACTTATTCTGTCTGGCCTCCTGGCTTCTTCTTCTTCCTTCTTCTCCTTTGGTGGGATGGCAGGCATTGCTGTCATATCTACCTAGTCCATCAAATTGATGGACATATGTGCCCTTCCCGTTACAAATGTGAGTTGTTGCCTATGGAAATAATGCCATGGTGAACATGTATGTATATACGAAACTGGCATGGTTCATGGGGTTTTCTGAAGACAGTTTTTATTTCTTTAAAAAACATTATTTTTTTTTTTTTACTTTTATTTATTTATGGGGACACAAGTCACAGCTCACATGTCATGAAGCTTGGTGGCAGTGGTGCTTGAGCCATTTTCCCCCCCTTGGCTAATTGCTCTCTGCATCCAGAGAAGTTCCTTTCCCATGGGAAATAGGTGCGGGGGGGGGGGGGTTATAGCACCACCATAAACTGGGAATATTTCCTTCCCATTGAACATAGGTGTTAACCAGACAGACCCTCATTCTGACTCCTCAGTGAAGTGAAAATTGAAGTCACTCACTTTCCACTTACAAACCAAAGCATACTAACAGTTACTTGGTAACTCAGCTTTCAGGACACTAAAAACCAAACCAAACCAAACTAAACCAAACCCCTTTGCCTTTCCAAACTCACTTGTGGCTGGCGGCTCAGTGATAAAGCCTGGCTGGGTCAGCTCGCAGGGGTTCTCTGTTTGCCTGTGTTGTGTTACCAAAGCACTTGTTATCTTTGCAGTGCAAGGGCTGACTTGGAAATGTGGGCCGTCAGCTATTTAAAGCTGCTGGAAGCCCCCACTCCACTCCTAAAGAACTTTCTGAGAGCAGGGCTTCCTTTGGGCTCTGATAACGTTAACTTTAAGAACCCTGAAGGATCCCTGGCAGGAAGCAAAATAAGAAGGGCGGGGCTTTTTATTCTTAAAGGGCATCCTGGAAGAAGAGTTTGAGCAAAGCCTCTTTGGTGGCAAAATAATGTGGGAACAGGGCGGGGGGGGGGGGGGAGAAGGAGAGAGCAGCAAGCAGAGGTGTGCGGTGAGAGCAGTGTCTGGATGCCAGGTTAGGGTGTCTGTGTGCAGCGGGAAACTGAGTAAACGACAATGACCCCAGGCTCTTTACTCCAGTTTGAGAAAGCAACAGGAACCAGGCAGCTCCCACAGGTCAGGCCTGTACTGAGGGCTTGCATGAGCCAAGGGATATTAGTGATGCCCGAGAGCTTTGGAATTTAACCACTTGGTTTCAGATCACTGGACAGATATGGTAGCCGGCCTGTCTGAAACTCAGTTTATCTCAATTAATATTGACTAGGTAATAGCAGCCTGGTGTGGCTGCTTCATTATTACCTCCACCCTCCTGGCAGCCCTATGAAAAACGGTATTATTGCTGTCCCATTTTACAGGTAAGAACACTGAGTTTTAGAGCCCTGGATGAGTCAACTGCGTGAGGGGGTTTCCTTGAGTCTCAAAGAAAACCCAAACTTGTAACACACACTAGCAGAGTGAAGAAGAAAATGGACAGAATCAAACACTCCTGGCTTATTCCAAGTCAGAACTCATGAACTAATAAGACTTTACAGAGGCTGGAGACACAGCTCAGTGGTTACAAGCAATTTGCAGCCCTTCCGGAGGACGTGGGCTCTATTCTCAGCACCCAAACGGCAGCTAACAGGAGTCTGTAACCCAGGTCTTAGGGATCCAACACCCTCACTGGGTTCCGTGGGTATACAGTATACAGACATCCATGCAGGCAAAACACCCGTACATGTAAAGTAAAAATCTCCAAATGTTTTCTTGTTTAATGAGACTTTACAGCGAATGGATGGAAAGTGAGCATAGCCACACACAGACAGGAGTGTGTATTCTTCATGTGTATTCTTTGTGATGTGTTCTTTGTGATGTTTGGTTAAACAAAGGGGCCAGAGATGTTGCCTATTTGGAAACATGCATGAGGCCCTGGGTTCAGTCCCTAGTACTAAATAAAACTGAATAAAGCCCTGCTCATGCATCCTGGGAGGGAGAATTAGGAGGATCAGAAGTTCAAGGTCACCTTGGGCTACGTGGTGAATTTGAAGCCAGCATGAGCTACATGGGCCCCTGGGTCAAACAACAAAAAGTCAAACCAAGTTTCCCATATTTTCTCCAAGTTTTCAGTCTCCTCATGTACACTGAGTTCTCCTAGAGGGGCCACATCAGCAGTATTTAACACTCTGACGAGTGTTCTATGGGCTTCGTGTGGCTAACCGCAGTCCTGTGTGGCATCCGGGGATTTGCGGCTTATATATTCTGTACCTCACAAGACATTATCTTAAACATCTTAAGGGTGAGATACAACTAAGAGACCAGAAGGCCCAAGGAGATCAATCCTGTCCTCTTGATGCAGCAGGATTCTCTCTGGAAGAGTGGACCAGGCCAGTGTACTTGTGAGAGCTCTGTGAGGCTGGAATGAAGCTCAGTGTGGTGTTGACAGTGGCTGTTGCAGACATTAGCCAGGCAGCCTTCAGGGCCAATAGAAAGCAGTGGACATGAGCTACTTGTTCTTGTAAAGGGCAAGCCATCCCTGGAGCTATGGGTGACATGGTGAGGAAGGCATCCTGCATTCCTGCTGATGAGTATTTGCATGTCTTTTGGTGTGGTTCTGGGCACATGGAGGAATGGTGGGACCTGTGACATGACCCCGTGCAGTCAGCTGTGCCAACATGGCTAATGCAGCCAATCCACCTGTCTGCGCCGTCCGGGTGGGCTGACTCACCCAAGGCAGGAAGAGGTGACAAAGCTTCCAGGCCTCCAGTTGACTGTATGGAATCTTGACTTTTTCCAGTAGGAAGTTTCCACACTTTTTATGCTTTTGGAGAAAAAAAGAGTGTGTATATGAATTCTTGTTCTCCTGCCTACCAGTTTCCTAGCTCTGAGTTTTTAAAAGATAATTTATTTTTAGTTTTAGGCACTTTTACTGGTGTTTCCCCTGCACATATGTCTGGGTGAGGGTATCAGGTCTTGGAGTTGCAGACAGTTGTAAGCTGCCATGGGGGCCCTGGGAGTTGAACCCAGGTCATCTGGAAAAGCAGTCAGTGTCCCAATTGCTGAGCCATCTCTCCACCCGTCTATCTCTGTATTTTATAAATACAAGTCAACCCTGTTAACTCCATTTACCATGCGCAGCCCCATTTTACAAACTGAAATTCTGTAACTAACAAATGACTAGCTCTCCAAGGTCCCTGTTGACTCTGGTTCCTTATGCTCCTATCAATATGATGAGAGCTAAATATTTTTACTTAAAATATTTATAAATTTTTATGTTAACCTGCCTTTCGGCCTAAATATTCCCTACAGATACTATTATTATTATTATTATTATTTTGCCAGCCATTGAGCTGATGGTTGAAAGCAGACATGACAGGAGTCTTCAGCAAGCAAGATCATTTTTAGAGAAATCTCTCATCACAGTTTCATTCTTAATCGAAATTCTTTAGACTTAAAAAAAAGAAAAGTTGACAGTTGGTCCCAGGCCAGCCTGCAACCTTATGAGTTCGGCCCCAGAAGGAAATGAAATGTCAGAGGGGCTCCAGCTGACTGACAGAGCTCTCTAGAACAGTAGCA